TGAGGCCCGGGGGGAGCGGGAGCGGCGCGGTCAAGGCCCCGCCGGGCCGCGGGCGCGGCGATGGGAGCCGCCGCCGAGCGCGGGGCTCCGCGCCGCGCGCTGACCTTGGGGCGGCCCCGGCGGGTTCCGTCCCGCTTGGTTTTGCCCCCGGTTGGTTTTGGCCCCGGTTTAACCGCGGTGGGTCCGGCCCCGGTTACCGGGCGAGGGCGGAGCGCCCGCCGTGGGTTTACCGGCGCGGCCCCGGAGCAGCGCGGTGCGGGCAGGATGTCCCGCCCCCGCTCGGGGCCGCGCGGAATGAATGGGGCGGCGGGGGGGGTCGGGGGTCGTTGCGCGTTGCCCGGTGGGTTCGGTGGCCACCGGGCACCCGCCGGTCGGTAGCGGCTGAAACGGCGGAAAACTCCCGGTAAGTAGCGCGTGGAGCCGCCCGGAGCGCGCAAACGGGCGAATCTTGTTTACAGACTTTTCCACTTTTCCACTTAAAACCCATCGCTGGGTTTTGCCCCGTCCCTGGAATGGCCAAGGCCGGGCTGGACGGGCAGCCCGGGCTGCTGGAAGGTGTCCCTGCCCATGGCAGGGGGGCAGCGGGAGGAGTTTTAAGGTCCCTTCCAACCCAGACCGTTCCACGATTCCGTGAAAGACCGAGGAATAGTGAGAAAGCCCCTCAGGAGCGGGTGGAAGTGCGGGAACCCGGCACGGAACCCCCCCGGTGCTGCCCGTGCCCGGCGCGGCTGAGCCGCTGGATCCTCTCCACGTGCATCCCGGGCGGGATCCCGCGCTCCCGGGGAGCCCTAATTAACTTGCCTTCCTCGGGGCCCTCCCGGGGCCGCTTCAGCGACCCAAAAGCGGCGTGAGCCGCTCGTGGCAGAGCTCTGGCTCGGTGTGAGTGTTCCCTCAGAACGCGCGGGGAAGACGAGATGGAGTTTTTCACGTGCGGGACGAGTTTTAAGAAGGAAATGTGGCCGTGGAAGGGAAGGGCTGTGCTGCCCCCGGAGCTGCCGTTCCCACACCTCCAGCGGCAGGACAAGGGGGAATGGCTTCAGGCTGCCAGAGGGCAGGGGTAGGTGGGATACCGGGAAGAAATTCCTCCCTGTTCGGGTGGTGAAGCACTGGAATGGATTTCCCAGAGGTTGCCCCATCCCTGGAAGTGTCCAAGGCCAGGTTGGACGGGGCTTGGAGCAACCTGGGCTAGAGGAAGGTGTCCCTGCCCATGGCAGGGGGTGGAATGGGGTGAGTGTTATGGTCCCTTCCAGCCCAGGCCATTCCGTGGTTCTGTGACCTCCACGTGTCTGGCTGGAATGTCTGGAGGGTGTACCACTTGCTGAGGTTTTATTTTGTCAGGAATTTGGTCTGAGGACAGAGTTACCCCTTGGGGACTGGTGGCTTTTGGTCCCTTGTCCCCAGTCAGGTCTTTTACTTGTGTTCTGAAACCCCAGACAGTGGAGCTGCTTCATCCCAACGTGACTGAAAGCGAGAGGAACGTGATAAAGTTGGACTTTTTATGTTTAATTTCTGTAAAGTTCATCATCCTGAAACTGCAGCGCTGCTCCCTCTGCATGCAGTCGTCTAAAATCTAAAATGAGGCTTTTTTTAGTTAAAAAAGCACCTTTCCGGGGTTTATAAGTGGAAAGAAAACTAATTTAGTAAAACAGGTTTTGTTGCTGTCGGGGGGGTAAATCCTGTTGGGAATCTGGCTCCTGCAGTGTCCTGTGGGAGCTCCCAGGATGCTCCCAGGAAACAAAGGCAGGATTCCATAGGCACAGGATACGAGGAGCACGAGGACAGGTTTGGAAACTCCCTGAATCGCCGCAAACAGTGAGATTTGAGATTCCACTCGTGAGTTCAGCGGGTCAGAAGCTGCTGCTGTGCCAGAGACAGGGATATCCAGGGATATCCGGGGATATCTGGGCTGGAAGCACAGCCCCCAGGAGCCACCGTGGATGGGGCAGAGCCATGAGGGCTCTGGGGTGAAGCTGAGCCTCCACGTTGCCTATCAGTGCTGCTGGGAAGCTTCTAGAACCTGTTCCACCGCGCTGGAATCACAATTGTCATCGGAATGCGGCGACTGGAAGAGCCAGAGGAGCTTGGGAAGTCCCCAAAACGCGGGTGGATGGGACAGAGGAAACCCTGTGGAGTGGGACACAGCGCCCTGTTCCCTGGGAACCACACGGGAGGGAGCACGTCGGAGTCACCTCCTCCTTCCCAAAGACCTCGGTCCCGTGGCTGAGGGAAAACCAGAGCCCCCTTGGCAGGAGGCCGAGGCTCCGTGGGGACAGAACTCTGTGCAACAGGTGATCCTGCTCCCGAGTCCTGGCGGCGCTTCAGCGTCTGTGAGAGGAGGAGAAGGTTCCGTGGGGGTGTGGGAACAGCTCCGGAGCGCCGGGAGCACGTGCAGGGCTGCTGTGTGTGGTTTGTCTCCTGGGAATCTCCGTGTGGGCAGGAGACGCAAACGAGCTGCGGCTTCCGCCTCGTCCCAGCTCTGGGCGGCGGCTCCGGCGCTGCTGGTTGGAACGGGGAGTTCTGACTGAAGCTCACGGGGAGGTTTTCCCTCCTCCCTTTGGGAGGGCGAGATTGGAAAAGCAGATAAAAGAAGGAGAGGCAGCTCCGGCACGGCCGGAATGGCAGTTCAGGGTGGCGAGTGCTGGATTCCCGGGGAAGCGGCGCAGGTTTGGGGGCACAAACGTGAATTATGGTCGAGCCAGATTTATTTGGGGTCTCATTCCTCTCCAGCTCTGATGTGTGTGTTTTCCTTGAGCTGAGCAAGATTTTTGGACGTGCTGTGAGTTTTATGCCTCAAACCCCCGCTGTGGGCGGAGATCCCGAGGTCACGGCCGAAAGCCGGGATGTGTGTGGCTCCCTGGGAAGGCTGGAGATGTCTCCATTGACATTGAGAACTGGGAAGTGTTAACACTGTTCAGCCCCTGCGTCACCCAGGCAGGGACACTGAGATTTCTGTTGGATAACGGGGCTGGAGGGACGTCCCCCGGTGTCCCACGCTGGGGGTTTTGTCTCCCCACAGAGGGAACAGAGTGGGGTGTTTCTCCTCCTCTTTTCCTCTGAGAGTCTTTCATTCCCTGTTAGAAGAGGATACTCGTGCCCAAGAAGGAATTAAAAATACCACAGTAAGAAAACTCCTGCTGTGCTGCTGCACTTTACCTGAGCAAGGTGATAATTAACATTCCCTGAAATGCAGCTGCAAGGGGAAGCATCAGGTTTTATCTCCTGGAACAGCATTTTGCTGAAACTCGAGGTTGAATTCAGAATGCACTTGTTTTTGTGTTCTTGGAAGTTAAATCCTTGGATATTGGCCTCTGACCAGGTGTTCTTGCACCTACAAGGGTGTTGGGGCTGCCAGAGGCATCGTGGCAGTTCCGCTGCTGTCCCAGCCTTTCCCTGAGCTGGCACCGGTGTATCCAAGTCCCCGTGGCACTGGGGGAGCTCAGCTGGCTGGTTTGGGGTTCAGCTGGGGCTGGGCTGGGCCCTGCTGTGGTTCATCCTGAGGACATGTGGATGGGAGCTTCAGGTAGGAACGTTTAGGGAACGTGCAGCCCTCGGTGAGTCACCTCACAAAATGTGTCACAGCTCCGTGCCAAGAATTAATCAATCGATGATCAGGTGAGTCAAAATCTGACCTGACAGTTTAGTAAAGGTCACCTTAATAAATGGTCTGAAAAGTTAATAATTGTGCTTACAGAGCAGCACTGAGCCCAGAGGGATGAGTTCTAAGATCCCTCCCAACCCATTCCATGATTCTGTGATCTCAGGAAGACAGAGGAGTGTGAGAAACACCCGTGGCCTCTGTGCCTTAGCAACAGCCCTGCTGGGAGGCTGTTTGGTTCCCCTGGAATGCAGGCGTTCCCTGGGCTTGGCCACAGTTGCCAGGGAATAACTGGAGGGGGGAGGAGGGTGTCCAGGCCCTGCTGGGTCTCTTTCCCCAGTCCACTGAGCACGGCCAGAGCGTTGCAGGTGAGTCCTCAGTGTGGAACTGCAAACACCAGAGTTGCCCTGGACATGCTGTTACTTATTGTGGTGGTTTTGGAAAGGGAGGAGAATTCCAGAGTGGGGAAGTTCCAGTCTGAGTATGCAGGAGGTTCTAGGAAGAGTTTGGAGCAAGGATTCTCCAGCTCTCGTACCTGTGCTGACACCAGCTGGGTCTTCATCATAGTAAATCTGTTTTTTAATAGTGTCAGTGCCCAAAAAGGAGGTTTTCTCAGTGGTTTTGCTTGGGCTTGGTTTTAACTCTTAGGGTGACAAAAACCACCCTGAAATCTGCCCAGGCAGCTGTGGGAGGTGGTGGAGCTTCTGCCTCGTCTGTAGTAGCTTATCTTAAAGTTTATCACGATTTTGATCTGCTGAAACATTTATTTCAGTCTCTCAGATTCCAGTGGCTCCTCCCAGGAGCTCTTTGGGGGTGTTACACACTGAATGCATCATTTCTTTTATTCACATCTTTTTTCATTCCTAAGCACCTTTAAAGATGAATAACGAGCTCGAAATGCAGGTTTTGAACACAGGAGGGAAGGTTTTTAGTTGAATTTATTGATGAAATGCCCAAACCTGCTGTGCCCACAGGCAGCCTGCCTCTGCAAAGTGGTACGACCGGAGGGACTACGTCTTTATCGAGTTCTGTGTTGAAGACAGCAAAGATGTAAATGTAAATTTTGAAAAGTCCAAACTCACGTTCAGGTGAGTAACTCGGGCACAGGGAGGTCCCCGAGGGCTGAGGAGAAGCAGATTTGTTCTGTGACATGTTCTGGGCTAAACACCAACTTACTTTTCTCTTTGCAGTTGTCTTGGAGGAAGTGATAACTTTAAACATTTAAATGAAATCGACCTTTTTAATAATATCGACCCAAATGTGAGTATCCCGAGTCTCCTCTTGGGTGTTCTTAGTGCTGGAACCTGGGGAGTCACTGGGGCAGGTTGTCCAGAGAAACTGTGGATGTTCCATCCCTGGAAGAGTTCAAGGATAGGTTGGATGGGACTTGGACCTACCTGGTCTAGTGGAAGGTGTTCCTGTCCACAGCAGGAGGTGGAGTGGGATGATCGTTAACCCAAACCATTCTGGAGTTCTGTGATCCTAAAAAATACCATCTGTTCTTTAGGCTGCTCCTGGGATTTTGGGACAAAGAGTTCCTTAGCCTGTAAGAATATGCTTGAACTCAGGTCCATGGGAGTGTTTTTCAGGACAGAGTATTTTATCCTGAAGTGTTTTTCAGGATAAAGAATAAGTGGAGAGGTTAAGACAGATGAGGGATGTCAGCAGTTGGTGGTGAAGCTCATCCTGATGGTACTAATGGGTATTTGCTCTTTTTCAGGAATCAAAGCATAAAAGAACAGACAGATCCATCTTATGTTGTTTACGAAAAGGAGAGTCTGGTCAGGCATGGCCAAGGTTAACAAAAGAGAGGGCAAAGGTGGGTTTGGGCACCTGCTGCCCCCCCTGGCTTTTAATTTAGTGCATATTTGGGTCATGTTTGAATTGTGGAGCAGTTTTGGGTCACTTTTCCTGCTCTCGTTAACCTGCCTGCTCTGACTGACAGCCGGGTACTTCCTTGTCCTTAAAAGATTCCTTGTCCTCAAGTAACTCCTTGTGTTGGTGCAGCTCAACTGGCTCAGCGTGGACTTCAACAACTGGAAAGACTGGGAAGATGATTCAGATGAAGACATGTCCAATTTCGATCGCTTTTCCGAGGTAGGGGGTGATGAATTCCTGGAGTTCAGGGTTTGCAGGGCAATGAATCCCAGTTTTTCTTGCATCCTTACCTTGTCATTCCTGCGTGGGGGCAGCTGTCCTGTCAAAGCAGCTGGGGGCTGTTGGTTTAGAACCATTTCAGGCTGGTTTGGGGAGGAGAATGGGGTTGGATTCACCCCGACTCGTGGCTGTTCTCTCTCTGAGCAGATGATGAACAACATGGGTGGAGACGACGACGTAGATTTGCCAGAAGTAGATGGGGCAGATGATGTGAGTATGTGGTTGGAGTAAACACGGGCAGGGCTGCTGAAGAACTCTTGTGCTCCCTCTTCAGCAGTGCAGAAGGCTTAAATAGCCCCAAACCTTGTTTGGACAGGTGATGTCACCTGGGGAAGTCACCTCCCTCCCTCTCAGCAGTGCTGAGGGCAGTGGGGGCACCATGCAGTTTGGAGTCTGTGTCTCTCTGCAGTGACTGGGGGTTGCTGTGGGTCTGTGGGCTCTGCAGAGGCCAAACTGAGCTCACTGAGTCCTGTGGAACCCGGAGTCCCTCAAAATCCCTGCTCTGCCTAAAGGGGATCCAGCTTGCCGCTGGATTTGGGAGCAGCAGCTCGTTCCTGGGGGGTGGTGTTTGAGGAAAGGCACTTTCAGGGCCATCTGCTCCACTTAATGTTGTTTCTTTTCCTTTGCAGGACTCACCAGACAGTGATGATGAAAGTAAGTTGTTGTTTTCCCCTCACACAGCTGCTGAACACCCCGGGCAGGGCCGGCAGATGTTCCCCCCGTCCATCCCACTGAGTCCTGGCAGGAGATGAAGCCAGTGCTGGGAGACAGCCTAATCTGGGAAAGCCTCTCCACACAAGCCCCAAATACCACTTTGACCTTCTGAGGCAGCTGCAGTCCCAGGGAGGCTTCAGCTTCAGGAGCAGCCCGTGCTCGGGGTGGCTCTGGCACAGATCTCCCTTGGGGAGAGCCAGGAGGGAGGGCAGAGGCCCCAAACTGCTCCGTGCCCTCCTTGGTTGAGGGCCAGGTCGTCTTGCTCGTGTCCCTTTTGACATAATGGGGCTCTGGTAGCTTTTAGAAAAACAAATAGCCAAAAAAACCCCACATTACCCCACAAACCAGCCCAAAAACAATTCTCTTTTCTTTCTCTCTAGAAATGCCGGATCTGGAGTAAGGAAAACTGTCGTCTTCAGGGTTTTGGGGAAAGAACTTCATCACAACATTTCATAATTGAGATAAGAATTCCTGAGTTGATAGCCCTAAAGGGAGATCCTGCATCCTTTAACCCATTTTTCAGTCCATTTTAAATGGCTTCACTGATGGTAGGTGTGTCCCATGGCACGGGGCGGTCTTAAGCCACGAGAGGCAATAACGTTATGCATGAACCGTTTTCCAGACTTCCAAAAAAAGACAAACCAACCCCCCAATTGAGGTGTAGGCAATCCGTACAGAACAGTTGCAATAAAGTTTACAGAGCCTCCTTGCCTCGTAGCAGATGTAATTACAATGGGAGAACCCCTGAATTTACACCAAAAGGTTAAGCATTTTTTCCCCCCCTCCTTCCTCCTCCACGACCTGAAATTGTCTGTTTGTACCGGGAACAAAACTTGTTGTCATTGGCTCCCCAAATTCAGCAGGCGAGGCAACATCCCTCTGTGGTGTCTTCAGGTCTGTTCCACTAAAGTTCGTATTGAAAAGGAAAACCTAAAACTTCTCCTCGTTTGGTGTTGGGCCCCCCCGAGCCCCCGAGCGGTGCCGGTGGCCGGAGCCTGTCCCTGGTTCCGTGTGACCCCCCCAGACCTCCCCCCTCCTCGCCCGGGGTGAGTGGCTGTACATTGTTTGCTTTGTCAATCTGTACATTTAGACCAAATCGTATTTGCACTGTGGGTTTGGCAGCGAGTGACAGACCGTGGGGCCTGCGACCGGGCTGAGAAACCTCAATTTATGTTCAGAGCAGCTGGGATTTTTTTAATGTCTGCATTCTTTCTAATAAACTGTTGAAGACTCCCCTGGCTCTCCCTTCGGCCTGGGCCTTGTGCGTTCCTCACCGCGGCAGGGGCAGGGGAGTCCTCCCTCCTGGGGGGACAGTGGGGTGGGCTCCCTCCTATGGGGGGCAGGGGGTGGGCTCCTTCTCGTGGGGGGGCCAGTGGGCCCATGGGGTGGGTTCCTCTCCCGAGGCAGGGGTCCCTGCTCCTGGTGGGAGGGCAGCTGGGGGCTGGTGCTGCGGGATCCCCCCTGCTACGGGGGGGGGGCAGTGGAGGGACTGGTGCGGTGGACTCTGCTCCCCCAGGGGTGGGTTCCCTTCTCGTGGGGAGCCGGTGGGGTGGGCTTTTCTCCTGCGGGAGACAAGTGGGGGCGCAGGGCCTGCCCAGTGCGGGGCAGCCCCTCGGGGCGGGGCGGTGACCCCCTGGGCCCGGTGCGGTGACCCCTGGGCGGTCTCGGGCCCAGCGCGGCCCCGTCGCGGTCACGGCGCCCGCCCAAGGACGAGCACAGCCACGTGCGCCGCCGCTTCCGGCGACCTTCGCCTGGGCCCCGCCTCTTCCTCTCAGCCTCACCCTATCAACGCGCAGCAGGCCTTGACGGACGGCTCCAAAGCCCAATCGCGAGGGGGCGCAGAGCGGGCGCCGCCTCAGCGAGGCCAATGGCAGCGCGGGCTCTGCCGGCGTGGCGGCCAATGGGCGAGACAGGGGCGCGCCGAGGCCCCGCCCCGCGAGGGCCGTGAGGGGCGGGCGGGACCCGCGGCTCAGTCGGCGCCGCCATGTTGGGGCTCGCGGGTCGTTCCGCCGCCGCCGCCGCCGCGGCCCGGCCGCTGCTGCCCCGCGGGGCCGCCCCGGGCCGTGACCTCCTCCCGCTGCTCCTCGGCCGCGGGGCCGCCCCGGCCTCCGCCGCCCTCGGGGCGCGTGAGTGCGGGACGAGGCGGGGGCACCTTGGCCCCTGCGGGCGGGGGGGGGGGGGGGGGGGGGGGGGTGTGGGGGGGGCGCGGGGGCTGGGGGTCCCCGTTAGCGGGAACGGGAGGGTTCTGTTGTGCGGTCATGAGGGAACAGCTCTTGGGGTTCCGGGGATCGTGGGTGCATCGAGGGAGGAGCTCCTGGGCGCACTGAGGGGGGCGTAGGGGGGCGTATCACTCGTCCAGCGTGCACGGAGGAGTAATCAGGGGGTCCCGGTGCATCGGACGAGGCGTTTCGCGGGGTCCCAGGCGCACAGAGGAGGGTAGAGGGGTCCTGGCTGCACCGAGGGGCGTTCAGGGGGTCCTGGTTTCACGGGGGAATCCAGGGGTCCCGGGCGCACCCCCGGGCCCGCGGGGGAGCCCCGTCCCCGCACCCCCGAGGCACCCGGCGCTGCCCTTCCCCGACCTTGACCCGTCCCTCTCCCCCCAGGCCGGGACTATGCGGCCCAGGCGGCCCCCGCTGCCAAGGCCGGCTCCACCACCGGCCGCATCGTGGCCGTCATCGGGGCCGTGGTGGACGTGCAGTTCGACGAGGGGCTGCCCCCCATCCTGAACGCCCTCGAGGTGCAGGGCAGGGAGACCCGGCTGGTGCTGGAGGTGGCTCAACACCTGGGTGAGCACTTGGCACGAGGGAGGGAGGGGACGGGGAAGGGTCCTCCTGTGATGATGTTTCCAATGACTTTCGTTCTCCTGAGCTTGCTGAAGCCACGGATTTCAATCTGAGGAGGAGGAAAATGGCTGCCCTCGAGGGCTGTGGCTGCAGGGCTGCAGCTGGAGCGCAGCCTGGTCTCTCCTTTTCCTCTGGGCTATTTTATTCCCGCGTCCTGCTGCTGTTCCCGGTCCTTCTCTCAGCTGAACGTCCCCTTGGCAGGGCCCGGGGAAGCCACCGGCAGCCGTGCCCGGGGTCAGCCCGAGGACGCTGCGGTGACTGTGCTGTCCTTGGGCCAGGGGAGAACACCGTGCGCACCATCGCCATGGACGGCACGGAGGGGCTGGTCAGGGGGCAGAAGGTGCTGGACTCAGGTGCTCCCATCCGCATCCCCGTGGGCCCTGAGACCCTGGGCAGGATCATGAATGTCATCGGGGAGCCCATCGACGAGAGGGGCCCCATCACAACCAAACAGTGAGTGCTGCGGGTGTGAGCAGGGAGGGATCCTGCTCTCCTGGGGGTTTGGGGCAGCTGCTCAGCCCCTTCCCCTCCCACTCCAGGTTTGCTGCTATCCACGCCGAGGCCCCTGAGTTCGTGGAGATGAGCGTCGAGCAGGAGATCCTGGTGACGGGGATCAAGGTCGTGGATCTGCTGGCTCCCTACGCCAAGGGCGGCAAGATCGGTATGTGACCCCCGGAGTGGGAGGTGGCTCTGGGGAGGGGGCACCTGCCAGCCCCCTTAAAGCTCCTGATGGTCCCCCTGGGGCACTTTCCTTCGCTGATGATCCACTCCTTGACTTTCGTTCTCCTGAGCTTGCTGAAGCAACGCTTTTTTCCATCTGAGGAGGAAAGGGCTGAAGGGAGACCCAGGGGCAGCTGGGCTGGCTCGGGGCTGAGCAGGACCCCCATTCCCCCCTCCCAGGTTTGTTTGGAGGTGCTGGCGTTGGCAAGACTGTGCTGATCATGGAGCTGATCAACAACGTGGCCAAGGCCCACGGTGGTTACTCAGTGTTCGCTGGCGTGGGCGAGAGAACCCGCGAGGGCAACGACTTGTACCATGAGATGATCGAGTCTGGGGTCATCAACCTGAAAGACGCCACTTCCAAGGTGTGCAGGGTCCCCCGGGGGGTGCTGGGTCTCTGGGGGAGGCAGTGGGGGGATGCAGGGGGTGCCAGAGGGACACCGTGCTGACCTGGGGGTCCCACCCGCAGGTCGCCCTGGTCTACGGGCAGATGAACGAGCCCCCGGGCGCCCGCGCCAGGGTGGCCCTGACGGGGCTGACGGTGGCCGAGTACTTCAGGGACCAGGAGGGTCAGGACGTGCTGCTCTTCATCGACAACATCTTCCGCTTCACCCAGGCCGGCTCCGAGGTCGGTGCTGGGCACGGGGGGTGCCCCTGCCCCGCTCCGGCACAGCCCCTCACGCTCTGTCCCCACCCAGGTGTCGGCCCTGCTGGGCAGAATCCCCTCGGCCGTGGGCTACCAGCCCACGCTGGCCACCGACATGGGCACCATGCAGGAGCGGATCACCACCACCCGCAAGGGCTCCATCACCTCGGTGCAGGTGAGGGCAGGGCCGGGGGGGCCCTGGGAGACCACGTCACCTGCTGGGGGCCCACCGTCCCCTCCCTTCCCCCCAGGCCATCTACGTGCCCGCCGATGACTTGACTGACCCTGCCCCCGCCACCACCTTCGCCCACTTGGATGCCACCACGGTGTTGTCCCGTGCCATCGCCGAGCTGGGCATCTACCCGGCCGTGGACCCCCTGGACTCCACCTCCCGCATCATGGACCCCAACATCGTGGGCCCCGAGCACTACGACGTGGCCCGGGGCGTGCAGAAGATCCTGCAGGTGAGGGGGGGCCGGGCAGCCCCCCGTGGGGTGGGGGGGGGTCAGTGCTGGCTGCTCACCCCTCGTGTGTCCCCCCAGGACTACAAGTCACTGCAGGACATCATTGCCATCCTGGGCATGGATGAGTTGTCCGAGGAGGACAAGCTGACAGTGGCCCGTGCCCGCAAGATCCAGCGGTTCCTGTCCCAGCCCTTCCAGGTGGCCGAGGTCTTCACCGGCCACATGGGCAAGTTGGTGCCTCTGAAGGAGACCATCAAGGGCTTCAAGCAGATCCTGGCAGGTGAGGTGGCCCCCCGGGGACTAGGGGAGCCTGGTTGGGCCCCCCCGCTGCCCCCTGACACGGTGTCTCCCCCCAGGTGAATACGACCACCTGCCCGAGCAGGCCTTCTACATGGTGGGGCCCATCGAGGAGGCCGTGGCCAAGGCAGAGAAGCTGGCAGAGGAACACGCCTGAGCCCCCCCGAGCCCCCCCTGCCCCCCGGCTCCGCTGGGGCCGGACCCCCAGTATTTAACATTTCCAATAAAACATTGGTGAAAACGTTGCCAGGTTCTGTGTGCTGTGGCTCCTGGTGTGAGGGGTCCGGAGGGCTCGGGGTCCTGTGAGCCCCCTGCACAAGGAAGGCAAGGCTGGGGTTCCCTGAGGCCCCCAACCCCGTGTTGGGTTCTGGGCTCAGCTGCTGCAGCAGCACCGGGACCCCCGGCCTTGGGGTTCCACAGGAGGGGGAAGAGCCCCCCCTTACCCTGTGGGGTCGCCAGGAGGGGGAAGAGCCCCCTTCTCCCGTGGGCTCCTCAGAACTGTCCCCAGTGGGGACAGCCCAGGAGGTGACAGATGCTGGTCCCGTGCCTGTCCCTAGCCCGGTGTCCATCTGTCTGTCCCTGACCCCATCGTTCCTTCCCCCCACGAGCACCACCCCGCCCGTTCCAGCTCCACCATTTCACAGCACAAAGACCCGGCCCGGCCCCGGCAGCTGCCGCTTTGTCCGCGGGGTCCCCGGGGCCGAGCGGGCCCGGCCCTCCCGGTGCGGGCCTGCGGGACACCCACGGCGGGGGCACCGGGACGGCCCCCGACCCCCCCGCTCCGTCGGTGACCCCCCGGTACGGGCTGGGCTCAGCCCCACGGAGGATCGGGGGGTGGCGGGGGTGTCCCGCGGCGCGGTCCCGGTGCGTGGGTGCCCCCCTGCCGCCCCCACCCACCCCCGCCACGGAGGCCGCGGTCCCTTTAAATGGCGGCGCGTCCCCGGTGGCGGAGGGGGCGGCGGCGGCCGCTGACATCACGCGGGGCCGGGAGCACCTGCGCCCCGCCCGGCTCCGCCACCGGCACCGCAGCGCACCGGGCCGGGCGGGCACCGGGGCTGGAGCGGCCGCCCCCGCCCCCCCCAGGTACGCACCGCGCGGGACGGGCCCCGGGGAGCGGGACACCGGGACCCACCGGGACCCCCGTGGGGCCGAGATGGCTGTACCGGGACCCCCGGATCTGTACCGGGACCCCCTGAGACCGGTCAGGTTGGACGGGGACCCCCCCGCTCAGTACCGGGACTCCCCACCCTCCCGGGAGGCGCCACCGGGG